CTGCATACTCTGTATTTATCCTAGTTTTGCAATCTTACCCTAAGCATTTGCAGTTTGATCCTGCACTGTGTCTGCTTAGCAGCTGTCCTCTGAGCAGACGGGCATCTCCCTGGCCGCAAGTGATGGGCAGAGCACCACTGCTCACTGCCCACGGCTGAGAACAAGCGCAGTATACACCTTTTCTCAAATCCACCCAGTGAACTTACAAACTCCTCCCAGCCAGGGGCGAAACCTCCCCATTTTGCTGCCTATTATTGCAAATGGATGGGGCAGGCGAGGGCAGGAATGGGGCCTCATTTGGAAGAAGAGAACAGTGTGAGAAAACTGTTATAAAGCATTCAAACAAGCACTATTCTGAAGGGTTAGCACCACAAATGTACAAGATTGTTTTTGATTAAACTTCTTGCAACACAAGGCTTCATGTAAGAAACATCTAAATTGTTTGATTATGAGCCAAACTGAGTAATACACACGTAGGAACTGGGGAGATGGGAGAAAAGGAACAGGGAAGATGAAAAGCATGCATCTGTTCTTTTAAAGTAATTTTAAAACAGTACTAAGGTTTAAGTTAGAAAAAGCAAGTATTAGCTAGATACGGTTGGGAATACTGTTCTTTAGCAATGTAATTAGGGATGGCAAAAGAACACATCTGAGTTTTAGAAATTAAGTTTCATTTTGATGTAAAACAAACCCAAAGCTTTTAAAATTCTGAGAGGCACAAGTGTGTGCACACAATGGAGGGAACAACGCTGCCAAGAGTGCAGAATATATAGTAATTACAGGTATCATCTGGGACATGGGAACATTTCAGCATTCTAAAACAGATACCACATTTCCACATTCCAGTGTAATGACTGACATGCTAATGCTTCCCTCTCTTCGTCCTATGAAAAATCCCAGTGAAGCTCCTAAAAATCAGTCCATATATTCTCATAAAACATTTTTGTTTGCAAGCGACATGACAATAACTAATTAGCAACTGGCAATTAGAAATGTGAAACTATTATAGTTCAACTGAAGGAAAAGAAACAGTAAGTTATAAAAGACAAATGATTTTCCAGCAGTTGTATGAGTCTTTCATAATAAACCTAATAATACTGGGAAAACAATCTGTGCTTTTTACTGCATTGTCTTCCCTGTCAAGGATCACTTAAAGAATTACAGAGTTCCAAAAGTGGCTTTATTTTAAAATGTTACTGACAAGATAACATAAAAAAACAAAAAAACAAAAAAAAAAACAAAAAACCACGAAAAAGAAAGAATATTTTCCTTCTGATAATTAAGCCAAAGTCAAAATTAATCACAAGGTTATAGGAAAAACTAAACGTCTTCTTTGACAAGTTAAGTACACTGATGTAACTAGAAGCGAACTCAGAATATGGTAAACATCACCAAAGTAGCACTATTTCCCATTATTTTTCCTGAAGCTCTACTGTTAACTTGAGGTTTTCTAAACCAAGACTTAAATCATACAGAAGTTAAATAATTTAAATAGCCACCTCCCCTCCCAGCTTATTAATCGTACCTTAATTTGTGCAAAAGGTCGGTCAAAGTTTCCAACATAAAGAAGACCAACATTCTGGGTGAGTAGCCTAAAAAAAACAAAAAAAATCTTTTAAGATATCACTTTACATCCATAAGTTTTTTTGCATCTCCAACAGTTGTTACTGGACCCTAGCAGGGTTACAAGCTTCATTACGATTGCAAGAGCTACCTTTGCAAAGCTGATTACACAATTCTATTTGAACTACTACAAAAAAGGAAAGGCGCGCATTGAAAATGGATGCACACCAGTAATGTGTGTTTATGGTGCAAGCAGCTCTTCAACAAAACCATTTCACAGGCTTCTTTGTGATGGATGTCTCTCCGTAACATGGAAGAATGGCAGGTATGTGCATTTTCTATTAATTAAAGACAGTTAGAGACAAATGGACAGCAAGAGAAAAGACTAGTAAACATTCAGAGCAGCAGGCCTAAGAGTTAAAACAGACAAGAGCAAATAAAAGCATGCACAGTAATATAAAAATGTCATCACTACAAGTACAGAAATAATAGAGAATCTCTGCCATATTGTCTAATGGCTTCCTAAATAAAAAGAGCCCCAGATGCAGTTTGTGCCTGCTGTTCTCTTCAACTCTTTACAAAATTGTTGCATGCACCATCAAGATACAGAGGGCCAGTGGGATAAATTGATTCAAATGACAGTTGGTACTTCTGGCAAAGAGCTAGTTTGATTTCTGCAGATACCTTACAAGTCAATGTTATTACTACACAAACTCCAAATCTGGGAGGAGAGGAGCATTAGGGTGCCACTACTATCAACAAGCAGACAAGAACATGACTGGCCAGTGAAAAGGTTAGGAAAACACTCTGCTGTTCAAACCAGACCACCACGATCTTCCTCTTTGCTAAGAAGGCACAGTGGTCACCCCCTCCACTTCAGAGGCTCCAAAAGCGTTGCACTGAAGTACAGACACCTCATAAGAAGAACTTGTCAATGACAGACCATTGAAAGAATTTCTGTTTTGACTAAAAGGGACATGCAAAACCCATCATACTCTTCAGTAGCTCCAAGTTTTCATTAAGTGTTCGTTATTTTGTATTTTCCTTCAATTTTATATCCCATTCTCATTATCAATAAGGCCTCACGTACAGATTAAATTTCCCCCAAGTAGAAATAACCAGAAAATAAGTAGGAATGTAGGCATCATTCTGCTCAAGTCTGACACCGAGATGTCTCTTTCTTTATATACTTTTAATTCATAGTGAGTGACATCTTTTTTCTATATATGAACTGGTTGTCATTTTCTAATTAATACCTCACCATCTCCAGGCCTATTTTCATAAACAAAAGAAAACAGAAGCTTAGACAGTAGTAAACCATTGACCTATAGTTCACACAATCAAAACACTGTGTGATGTTTCACAGCTTAGTATGATTTGATTCTTCCCAGTTCTGACAACAATATATGACCTTAAACTGGTTCCCCAACAGTGGTAATTGGTGTAACTTGGCAAAATGGCAAAGTTGAAACAGTCATGTGTATAAAACAGAAGTAAGAAGTGGTGTTGAACTGTGTATCATCTTCAAAAATCTTTTTTTAATTGGATACTGCATAGAAAAATTTCCTGAGCATTGACAGAAATACCCATAGGAAGGGAAGACCAGTAAGGATCAGAGCAGATCAGCCACAGTACGGACAGGCAAGTGGCTTCCTCCCTTTGCCCACCAGTGTGCCCGACTCCGTTGGGAAGATCAGTACTGTTTTGCAACAGTTCTGCAGTACTGACATATGGAAGTCAGGATGAGCACGTCAAATTCATTTTCAGTCACAATAAGCCAAATTCATGCAGAATGCAGGTCTTCAGAGCTGAAAGAGCCAGCATATTGATCAAATCTTCTGCTAGGACTGTAAAGCAAACTTGGAAAACATTTAAGGGTTTTCTAAATGAAAAGAAACATATGGGAATTAGCAGAAAAGGTTAAAAAAGCATCTGTAGAAAGGATTCAGGGTATGTCACCGTATTTGAGAAGGGGCATCTTAAAGCAAAAAAAGTATTTTTAAAAAGAACTGCACATAATTTTTGTAAGGCAGAAAAGAAAAAAAATAGTCCACTAGCTCTATTTCTAGTAAGGGACCCAAAAAAAGAGAGAAGACATACAGTGTGATTATTCCCACTTGGTTATTCTTCACATTGTTTTATTTACTGGATAGAAATGTAGGACCATTAAAAATCTGAGTCTTTAGGATGGCTTTAGTTAGAAGTAATGAACATCTAGGGAACCTTAAGATTAACCTTTCCAGAAGACCACACAGCAGTTTACACTGTTGAACTTCCTATGACTGATGTGTACCCAAAACCTGCAAACATACTGCAAGGATTGCCTTCCTTAATAAGACTGATACTGACACAGAAATACAAGCTCATTACTATTTATTCACCTTCCACCACCTTGGCTGAAAAGTATTTTACTCACAATTTTTTATTTGTATTCACAAGTCACTTCAAAAAGGCAATGTTAATTCAAAGCAATGTTAGGAAAAGTTTTAGGGAATGGAAAGTTACCTGTAACTCTCCCTTGCTTAAATAAAAACTCGCATTCTTTGTTTCTTTAGCTTTCAAGATTCCCCTCGAGTTCTGAAGTTCAAAATTATATCACCAACATGCAAAGCCAGTCAGTTTTCCATATAAACACTCAATAAGGTTGAAATGAGCATCTCAATATGATCATAACTTAATGACCTGAAATACTTGTTTTTTCTGACCCTAAATGGTCCAAGCAATTCAAAACAATCCAAATCTTATGACTTGTATAAACTCTGTTACTTCAGAGTCCTTCTTGAGCTCTCTTTGAGAGCAGGCCTGCAGAGAAGGACTTGGGGGTATTCATGGATGAAAACTGAATATGACCAGCAATGTCCGGTCGCAGCCCAGAAGGCCAACCGTATCCTGGGCTGCATCAATAGAAGCATGGTCAGCAGGTCAAGGGCGGTGATTCTGCCCCTCTACTCTGCTCTCCTGAGAGCCCACCTGGAGTACTGCATCCAGCTCTAGGCCCCCCCCCATAAGAAAACCATGGACCTGCACAAGCAGTTCAAGAGGAGGGCCACAAAAACGATCAGAGGGCTGGAGCACCTCTCCTATGAAGACAGTCTGAGACAGCCTGGAGAAGAGAAGGCTCCAGGGAGTCCTTATTGCGGCCTTTCAGTACCTAAAGGGGGCCTATAGGAAAGATGGGGCTCTTTATCAGGGAGTGTAGTGATTAGATATTAGGAAGAAACTCTTTGCTGTGAGGATGGTGAGGCACTGGAACAGGTTGCCCAGAGAAGTTGTGGATGCCCCATTCCTGGAAGTGTTCAAAGCCAGGTTGGATGGGTCTTTGAGCAACCTGATCAAAGGTAACCCTGCCCATGACAGAGGGATCGGAACTAGATGGTCTTTAAGGTTCCTCCCAACCCAAACCATTCTCTTATTACATATCAGCATAATCTCCATATTTCAGAGACTGACATCATGCAGAAGAGTCTGGAGAGGTAAGCAGACTGCGGCAAGAGTCACTGCTGAGGCTCTAGATAGGTCAAGCTACTGCAAGAGTGTGACCACTCCTTCAGCAGTCATCAGTGGCAGATTCAAAAAAAATGATGTGCCGTTGAGGAGAGAGGTGAGATAGAGGAGTATGTGCCCATCTCCATCTCACCTATAGGAACTCAGCATGACTGATCTCTAAGTTGCCATTGAGATGTACTCTTCACCTGTCAGAAAGTTCAAATTACACATAGTCATTGTTATAGTTCTTCTTTACCACAACACCAGGCTGCATTTTTTGAGTAACTAAAATTAACTTTATACCATAAACTTCAACATGTATAAATTGATATAGATATTCTCTCCTAATGCTCTCAACTAATTACCCTTTGCCTTTTGAAGACTTTCCAATGGTAGGCAGGTTTAGTTATAAGCACTTACATATTTCCTTATTTCAAACACAGAATCACAGAATGGTCAGGGTTGGAAGGGACCTCTGGAGATTATCCAGTCCAACCCCCCTGCCAGAGCAGGGTCACCTACAACAGGTTGCACAGGACAGCGTCCAGGCGGGTTTTGAATGTCTCCAGAGTGGGAGACTCCACAACCTCTCTGGGCAGCCTGTTCCAGGGCTCTGCCACCCTCAAAGTAAAGAAGCTCCTCCTCATGTTAAGATGGAACTTCCTATGTTCAAGTTTCTGCCCATCACCTCTTGTCCTATCACTGGGCACCACTGAAAAAAGACTGTTCCCATCCCCCTGGCACCCTCCCTTTAAGTATTTATAAGCATTAATAAGATCCCCCCTCAGTCTTCTTTCCTCTAGACTAAAGAGACCCAAGTCCCTCAGTCTTTCCTCATAAGAGAGATGTTCTAATCCTCCAATCATCTTTGTAGCCCTTTGCTGGACTCTCTCCAGCAGATCCCTGTCTTTCTTGAACTGGGGAGCCCAGAACTGGACACAGTACTCCAGATGTGGCCTCACCAGGGCAGAGTAAAGCGGGAGGATGACCTCCCTCGACCTGCTGGCAACACTCTTCTTGATGCACCCCAGGATGCCATTCTCCTTCTTGGCCACCAGGGCACATTGCTGGCTCATGGTCATCCTGTTGTCCACCAGGACTCCCAGGTCCCTTTCCACAGAGCTGCTCTCCAGGAGGTCAGCCCCCAACCTGTACGGATGCATGGGGTTATTCCTCCCCAGATGCAGTACCCTACACTTACCCTTGTAGAATTTCATTAGGTTCCTCTCTGCCCAACTCTCCAGCCTGTCCAGGTCACGCTGTAAAGCAGCACAGCCTTCTGGCGTGTCAGCCACTCCTCCCAGTTTTGTGTCATCAGCAAACTTGCTGATGGTACACTCTATCCCTTCATCCAGATCATTGATGAATATGTTGAACAAAACTGGGCCCAGTACTGACCCCTGAGGGACACCACTTGTTACTAACCTCCAACTAGACTCTGCACCACTAACCACAACCCTCTGAGCTCTATCTGTCAGCCAGTTCTCAATCCACCCTATTGTCCATTCATCTAACCTACACTTCCTAAGCTTGCCTGTGAGGA